CTATTGTAGTCCTTGGCTTCTGGCAGCAGTGAGTGAAGGAGCAACAGTGGTGCCTTCCAGCATTATAGCTCTCACGCAGGCCTCTGGCACTGGGACCTCAGCTGCACAGTAACAAGCGTTACAGCTCTCCGGTCTAGGGTGGGAGATGTTGGATCTTAATGCTGAACAGGTCTTGGTCTCCCCAAAGATCAAGGGCCACTGTTTCTCCTTTGCAGCTCTTCCCAACCCTTACTGTTTTCTTTGCTTCTGCTTTCTGTTGTTTTTGCCCCAGACACTGCCTGGAACTCTTCAGCTGCCCTCTCAGCACTACTGCCACTGTTGCTGCTGCTACTGCTCTGCTGCTGCTTCCATTGGCCTTGCCAGCTCAGCCTCTCTACTAATGGTAAAGATCAAAAGTAGACAAGAAAAGACCCTTGGAGAAAAGCATTTTATTGGGCTTAATGCTGCAACACCAGGGAGCAGCACAAGAGGGTGTCTCCCAGCTGACTCACAGAGTGAACCAAGTAGCCTGCTTGTACAGCCAGAAAGGAGGTACGGCATGCAAATGAAGAACTGTGTTTGCACCAATCATGGCTCAGTCCCTCATGCAAATGAGGGACCACACTTGCCAGGATCACAGTAGTACCTCATGCAAATGAAGGACTGTGTTTGCATGAGTCATATGTCTTCTTGGGGACCACCAGGGGATGAAGTCCCCCTCTAGAGTTCACTGAGGCTGTGATGGCAGAAAGTCTGGCAAAATCGATTTCAAACAATCAGAGGGTAGTGCCTTCAGGAGCAGGAGTTGTGCTTTAGCGGCAAGGAGCTGTGGTTGTAGTGTGCTTTCCTCAAGGTGTCCATGAAGTTTCAAAGCAGCTGGTGTGCTAGCAACCAGGGCAGTCTCGCTACTTGCTTGGCTGATGTTCTTCACTCAAGAGAGCCAGGGCTTATAACAAAGGGCCCAGCAGCTGTCAATTAAGGAGTCAAATTATCCAGCCCCAAACACCTTAGCTTTTATAAAGGAAAACATAAACATTAAAAGTGGTGCTTACAATACAGGCCTGTCATTAACATTAACAGTGCTCTAACAATGCTTAACTCCTGCCCCAGTGCCTTGGGGAGAGGTGGGTCACTCTAATCTGTCTCCCTTGGCTCTCTTGGCATGGGGCATGTTGACAGTGCTGCTTCAGAGCTAAAGGCTACCAAGTTCGCTTCTTCAGTTTTACCCCGAAAGTATGAAAGAGGGAGGAATGGTTGCATAAATGCACGAACCTTCTTGCTCTTCTGCCGGCATGATGGCAGCACCATTCTTGTTATAAGCCTCTCAAGAGTCTTAGCTTGAGTCATTGGCAATGAGCCATGAACTAGGCTCATTGGTTATCGAAGAACAGTACAGGGGTCCCCTGAATCAGAATTACCTAGAACACTAGTTTAAAAATGTGTGTTTGAGGGCCCTGCCTTAGACTTGAGTAAACAGAAATCTCCAGAAGGGGGGGGACTCAAAAATCTGTTTTCATATGTATGCTACAAGTGGAGAATCTATGAGCTAACCTGGAGGAAAGTTCCCAGTTTGTAAGTTTGTGCCTGAGTTACATGGTTACATGGATCAGCTAATATTTTAATCCAGGTCTACCAACTTGAAGTCTGTGTTTTATCCACTATGAAATATTTTGAATTGTCAATGACTGTCACATCACTTTTACTAACTGCTCCTATCAACCATACCTCTCAGTTATTAATGATCCACACACAATTTTTTTATTAGTAGTATATTACAGTTGTACAAGAAGACACATTGTAACATTTACCTAAGTGCTTACAATATCTTAGATTTACCCCCTCAATCTTTCTTCTTTATTCCGCTTACCCCTTAGAACAATTTCAACAGGTCTCACTGTTCTATGTTCATACATGAATATAAAAGAAATCCTCATATTCACCTTTCTTCCCCCTTTCCTTATGCCCTCTCCTCTCCCACTGATACTCATCCTCAACAGGATATATTTTACCTTCCTGTCCTTCATTGATTAAAATAAAAGGACATTTTTATTAGTTTGTGATAGTTATACAAGGAGTTTTGTTGTGACATTTCCAAACAGACAAGCATACCCTGAATCAGTTCTTCTCCATTATTCTCCCCCCTTCTTATGGTGACTTCAACAGGTTTCAATGTTCTATATTCATACTTGTGTAGAAAGTTTATCAACAATATTAACTCTCTTTACTATCTTCATTTACCTTCCCTCTCCTACTAATACCATCTCCTTAACATGAGCTGTTTTATGTTCCTGTCCTTCACTATTTAGGTGCCTGTCCCTTGTTCTGTGAACCTACAATTTCCAGTGCCTTGCAATGTAGTGTGATTTCTCTTTGTCCTTCCTTCCCAGCAGAATCACGAACTTGGTTTAGAACACTGTTTCTCTCAAACCATTTACTCTCCAGCCTGCATTCTTACTTTCCAGCCCACCTTCCAGTCTTTGCTTGTTCTTCTTCTTTAATGAATTTCCAATATCAAGTTTTAGCAAAATAAGAAATTGAAAATGTAATGCAGAGCCTTGCTATCACTTAACAGACTATTTTAAAAAGATTATGTGTACTTTGTTCCAACAGCTATTTCATATGTATATTGAAAGTAGTAATCATTCTTCTTATCATAACTCTGACCCTTATTATGACAGCATATGTAAAAACTGTGATTTCCTCCTCCCCAGAAATTTAGAGACAGAAGAGGATGAAAAGTTTGGGAATGAATGAGATCAACATTCAAACACTGGAAATATTCTGAAAATAAAGTCATGTCATCTTTACCAATGGTAGAATATGCCCAGGTGAATGATATTAGAGTTCTGGTTGTTTATGGTGTTTAAGATATACAAGTGATTTGCAAATCACTAAGGAGAGAGAGGGATATTTGACTTAAATTCTGGGAGCTTGTAAACAAGTCTTGGGGCAGGTGTCTTTCTGTGTAGCTTTTATCTGAGGTTCTAAATGAATGACCATGGATGTCTGCTTGATTGAAACCTTGCTTCAGGAATACAATATGCACTTAGACTCCTGAAATGCAAGCCTTTTGGAGTCAGTGGAGGAGAAGGAAGAGCACTGCAGGAGGAGCCCCAACTTCCTTATCTGTCTCTCCAGGAATTCTCAGAGCTGAGGTTCCAGCTCAGGTTGCCAGACAGATGAGCATTTGCCAAGGGCTTTAACTTGGCCTCTTCATATTTCTGCTTTTAAAATTGCACATTGTGTTTCCTTTTTTAAAAATTTCCTTTGGAATTATCTCTTGTTTTAGCTCTTTAATAATCTTTTACTACATTTCTTACTCTTTTATTAGTTTCTTTTCAATGGGAAAAGAATTGCAGATGCTCCTCAACTTACGATGAAGTTGTGTCCTGATAAACTCATTAGATGTTGAAAATATCACAGGTGGAAAATGCATCCAATACATGTAACCTACCAAACGTCAAAGTCCTTAGATGTGCTCAGAACACTCACATTAGTCTACAGTTAGGACAAATGCAAAAGCCTATTTTATAACAAAGTATTGAATGTCTCAGGTAATTTACTGAAGAATATAGTAAAAGTGAAAACACAATGGTTGTAGGGGTACACTTTCACACCACTGTAAAGTCAAAAAATTCTAAGTCAGAAACTATTCTAAAACAAGTGAAGTTGAATCCCGTTTCTCCCTAGTTAGCACCACACAGGCTCTTCTTTCCTCTGCTTGAGATCCGCTTCCTGGCAGGCAGCATATCAAGTCTCTCTGCATTGTCAATCGCAGGTGATTATACAGTCAGCCTTTCTTATCAATGCGTGCCCATCCTGGAGGATCAACAGATTAACAGGACTCATGCTGAAGACAGGACATATAATAGGTCCTTAAGAAACTGCTTTTGCTTAAAAGCACTGACTCCTCACTTGGACCTGCAAATGTCCAAAAGGGTAGTTAAAGGCATCCCTGCCTCCATTTTGTGTCTGTCTTTGTTCTGAGCCATTCTCTCTGCAGTCACCTTGGAATCCAAGAAAGAAAGGACTGATCAGTATCATCTTTTAGACAAGAGTTGAAACTTCCCTCTAGACAACAATGACTTTGTTATCATGACCAGATTGCTCCCTCAAGTGATGACAATGACAACAACTTATCTGGAACCATTCAATAGTGATCAGGCCACAATTTACCTGGGACATACCTCTCTCCTCCTGCCCAAATTCTTCCTCTATTTAAACCTAAAGTTCATCTCTATACCTGAAAGATGGGCTGAAGTGCTTACTTTGTCTCTTCCCTCAGCAGGCCCACACGTGTAACAACCTTTTTTCTGTTGTTGACCACTGCTCCTCTCTTTATTTGGTGTATTGGAGCAAGTGGCAGACCTAATATGCAGAACCCTTGGAGTCACGCCCCTAGCCTAGAACTCCTGGTTATGCCAGGTAGTCACATGCCAGGTGGAGGATGAGGAATTTGATTAGAATGTTAGGGTGGGCTGTTCTCTCTTCACTGAAACCTGCTCCTGGGGTGGAAGCTGAAGTCAAAGCCTCCCTGGGAAGAAGGGCGAGCCCAGCCTTCCTGAAGTCCAGGCAGGAAGCCATCTGTCAGTGGTCACACTCACTGTGTCTGTCTTAGTGCCACCTAATGTGCTGGACAGGGCCTCTCAGACCATCGGCAGTCACCCTCTTGCTGTGACAGCAGCAGAGAAGGCCGCCTTGGACTCTGGTCAACAGGCCGTGGACTCTGGGATGGGGAAGTCTTATTTACTTCCATATCCAAGCTCTCCCCAAATGGCATAGGATCTGCAGTGACAAGCACACTATCACGCACAGCCTTGGCATTGTCAACACAAGCCTGGAGGCAAAGGCGCCAGCACCAGCAGCCTGCGAACGCAGAAGCAGCTCAGCTCAGCGCGCCGCAGGTCCCAGAGCGCGCCCCCCAATCTCGCGAGACCACCGCCGGGCGCCATCCGCTCCTCCACCTCTCGCGAGAGTTGGCTGGACTTCCGGTTCGCCCGGCGTTTCTGCGGGCAACGGCGATGGCGGCCGCGGCGGCCGAGCGGCTCTTCTCTTTGGAGCTGCTCGTGGACTGGGTGCGCCTGGAGGCCGGGCCGCCGCCGTCGCCGCGAGCCCCGAACCCCGGCCTGGCCTTCCGCTTGCTGGACTTCCCTCCACTGCTGGTCCGGCCCCCGGCTGCGCCCGCCCCGGCGTCCCTGCACGGCGCCATCAGCTTCGGGCGCGGCAAGGCCTGCCTGTTCCGCCTGCGCCCCGCCGCCCTGCGCCGCCCGCTGCTGCGCGCCGCCCTGCTGCAGCTGCCGCCCGCGCCGCGGCTGCTGGGGACCTGCGACATCCCGCTGGCCGCCGTCGCCCAGGGCCGGCGGGACACGTTCGCTCTGCGCGACCCGGCGGGCCAGCGCGTTGGGGTCGTGGCGCTGTTCCACCGCCTGACCGACCTTGGGGACCGCCCGGCCGCCACGCTGGGCCCCGCGCGGGGGGACCCCGGTTCCCGCGCCCTGGATGCCCTGGAGCCCCGCCCCCGCGATGCGGGGACGCCCGCAGCCGTACAGAGGGATCCGGAAGAAGCACTTTCCCGCAGTAAGGCCCACTCCCAGGACGCGAGTTCTTCCCAGGACCCCAGAACCGACCCTGATGCCGCGGGTTCGGCATCCAGCAGGGACAGGAGTGTCAGCCCCCTCCATCCTGAGGTTGCAGAGTGGGACTTTGCAGCCAACACGTTCTGCCCTCCTCCTCTGTATTACACTAACTGGACCCAAGAAAAGACGCCGCCTCCTGCACGGGTTGAAATCACCATTGAACCTCATAGAAATGTTCCTGAGGAACTGGATGGTGTTATTCCCGAAACAAAACTTGTAAATCCTCCAACACATCCGAGTCTTCCAAAGCATGAAAATTCTGCAACACAGGAGAGACCTCCAAAGCTTGCAAATCCTCCACATATTCAGGATGTAGGAGCAGTTAATCAGACCCCGGGCCACCCTCAAACTGAACAAAACATGATCAACACAATAAGGCAGCTGCCTTTGTTAAATGCTTTGTTAATTGAGTTGTCCTTGTTATACAACCAACCTGTGGCAAGCCCTACTCATGTACACCCTCACTTAGCCTGGTTGTACAGAACTGAGGATAAGGCACAAGAATCTTCCACCAAATCCACGTGTCAGTCTGGCTCTAAGAGGGATGAGCGTTCTGTGGGAGAACATGAAAAAACAGTGAGTTCTCAGTATGCAAAGAGCCAAGTTGAAAACCTTAAGAAAGGTGAATACTTTGAAAAGAACAATGGTGGTCCCCCCAAAAAAGTTGCAAAGGGGAGGCTACTTTATGGCTTAACAAATACACTAAGACTACGTTTAAAGCAAACAAATCCTGATATGTTGATAGTACATGAAAAGAGAGAACAGTACAGAAAAATGAAAGCACACATGTTGGGGACAAAATTCAGGATTTCCATCATGCAAAGGCAAAGTGTTAAGCTTTGCAGAACCCGTTCAGAAGTCTTATAAATTGCCTGCAGGTAAGCATTTAGATTCAGATGGGTTGTTTGCTGAAAATAGTGGTACCTCATGGCCAGTTAGTGGAATTTCTGGTGAGCCCAGTACAACTAAAACAAAAATGAAATGTGCAACTGAAAAAGAGACAAGTGATGGTGGTGAAAATAGAACCAGCAATGCTTCATTGGAAACAGTTGTGAGTCCTGCAAGTTCCATTATTCCAGAGAGAATTATTCACACAAATATTTTGAGAGGAAAGTTGGAAGTCCAAAACCCATGTGTTTTCCAACAGGATGCTGTTGTTGACAGAATTGTAAATAAAGAAGTAGATGACAGGCAAGTCAAAACCACAGATAATGACATTCTTAGTGGTGATACAAGTGAAAGTATACCGAGTAAGAATAGTTATGAAAGCATCTCAGAACTAAAGTATTCAGATGACTTCACCAGCTCTTGCTATTCTGAAGACTTCTGTGCACCCAAGGACACTATCAGGTGTTTGCAATCTCATGCCAGTAGTGCAGGGGCAGAAAGGCGGAAACACAGCCCATGTACAAGTACAAGTAAGTCCAGTGAAGCCATATTGTCCCTCAGGAAAAGTAGCAGTGAGAAGAGTTCTGTTCTTAGCCCACCTTTTTCAGCTGGATCACCAGTACTCTCACGTAAAATATCTCATATTTCAAAGACTCTGGATGAAAGTCTAGAGGAAATGTCTGGCATCTCTGCCAGTGATCGCTCTTCACATTGGAGGGAGGAAAAAGTAGACCAAACTAACAGGCATAATTCAAAGGTTGTGAAGAGAGGTCAGGACGTCTCCATTAAAACAGGAACTGGTTGCAAGTCTGTAGAGAGAAGCCAGTCACCTCAGACATCGCAGGTGAGTTCTTACCTGCCATCTAATTTGTCAGAACTGGAGCTCAAAGTCCTGGATAGCAGCCCATCAGATCACTCTGAAGGAGACGATAATATTGGTTCACTGAATATTTCTAAGCAGTGCAAACACATCTGTGAATTAGTAATAAATAAACTTCCAGGATACACCGTGTGAAAAACGTGCTTTAAAAAACATTTTTACCACCTGTATGTGCTATTAGTGAAAAAAAACCTTTACATTATTTTAATTTGTAAGTTATGCTAATAGTTCTTTTTTAAGAAATGTAAATAAGTTCGTCATTCCTTTGGTGTTCTGATCATATTATATTGACCATGAAACTGCCTTATAACTTAGGTAAGATTTTTTTAAAGTTAAGAATAAAAGTATATCTTTCTAAACTGTTTCTCTTAAAGTGTCTAACCTGAAGTATGGAGTATTCTAAAACTCGCTTCATGGGCACCATTGAAAAAAGGCTGGTGAATAACGATAGCCTCAAATTTTAATGGGAATAAATCATTTAACATGCAGAGGTCTTACTGTGTGAAATGCAGAAACGTACATAAACATTTAAGATATAGGCCCTGCTGTTAAAAGAGCTTACAGTTTTATGTAGGGGTCATGTTTTGACAGGTACACATCACATCCTGCATGTCCTGGCTCCCCACAGGTGGTGTCCCTTTTACTTTCTTTCAGAGTGTTCTGTACCGTTATTTTGTTAGCCACAATTTGTATGATTTCTTGATTGATGTTTATCTTCCACTGGGCTTAAGTTCTGTGATGGGAGGGACCCTGTCTGTTTTACACGTCAATATTGTCTTAGTGTCTAGCTCAGCCCCTGGCATGTGGTTTGGGTGTAATAAAAAACATTTAACAAACTGACAAATTGAAGGCCTACCATTTAAAGCACTTAACAGAAGGGCACAGGATTGAGCAGAAGTTGTAAAGAGAAACCTGGAATTTCTTGTTTTTGTGGGGGGAGGGGGTTTGGCAGCCCTAGGCGGGCACGGTACCATTCAAGCTACGCCCCCAGCCCCCAAACCTGGAAATTTTTATCGAGACATGCTTGACTAATGCTTTTGTTTTGCTGAGTGTAAACTGCCTTCAGGTGTTCTCAAGTATTTGCACAGGGGAGCTAAAAAAGGTGTCTTCCCACACAGTTTCTTGATTAGGAATTCATCTTAGGTTTTAATGTAGAAAAGCTTGTTTTTATAAGCCCTAGTGATTATTTCTTTATAATTTAGTCCACTGATTTTAGACTTTACTCAGTATTTATATATTTGCATATATTTTTATCTAGCTGTGTTAACTTTAATTTTTATGCTTTTTAACATAGCTAATTTTTTGGACATGTGGAGTGAGATCCTAATTTTCCTTTCTTTAGAGGTGATGAGTGATATAGGTATTGTCTTCTGAATGATCATCATTTTATTTATTTTTCAATTTTATTTTATTTATTTTTTATTCATTTATGCATACAATGTTTAGGTCATTTCTTCCCCCTTTCCCCCATCCCCTCCCTCTCCCCCTCTACCCCCTCGCTACCAGGCAGAAACTGTTTTGCCCTTATCTCTAATTTTGTTGAAGAGAGTATAAGCAATAATAGGAAGGACCAAGGGTTTTTGCTAGTTGAGATAAGGATAGTTGTACAGGGAGTTGACTCTCATTGCTTTCCTGTGCATGTGTGTTACCTTCTAAATTAATTCTCCTCGAACTAACCTTTTCTCTAGTTCCTGGTCCCCTTCTCCTAGTGGCCTCTGTCGCTTTAAAGTATCTGCAGTAGTTTCTCTGCACTGAGGGCAACAAATGCTATCTAGTTTTTTAGATGTCTTATCTATCCTCATACCTCCCTTGTGTGCTCTCGCATTATCATGTGATGAATGATAATCATTTTAGACAGATGCTGTGGAGAAAAGGGTGTTCTGCTTGGAGTTGATAGGAATGAGAGAGTGATGGTGAATGACCGTGGCATTGATGGGCGAGCCAGCGGATCATCTTGAGTAGAATAACATGTTTGTGTTACAGAGTGACAGAAGAGAAATTTGTGGAGTAAGGACAGTCCCAGATGTAGTCTTGAGTGCCAGTCACTATATTATAGTAGGTTACAAATAACACCAGTAAGTAGTTATGGCATTTTGTGTATTTTAAATTACTGGAATTAATTTTAGAGGTACAAATTAAGGCCATTAAACATTTGGAAGTATAAAAGGATTTTTTATAGCTAAAGACTGATTTTCATTTTTCTTTAAATGCATGTAGTGTATTATCTTAAAAATCAAAGACATTTAATGCTGTACTGTAGGTACATACTCAAATGACATCAATTGTGCAAATTTATTGTTCTTAGTGGTGCTGGGAATTTGAACACAGGACCTCACAATTGCTAAGCAGGTGCTCTACCATTTGTGCCATACTCTCAGCTTGTTTTGCTTTAGTTAGTTTTGGGGTAGGGTCTTATGATTTTGCCTGGGCCAGCCTGGACCACGATTCTCATATTTATGCTGGGTTGACCGAGCTGGGATGACAGGTGGGTACTACCATGCCCAGTTTTATTGGTTGGGGTGGGGATCTTAATAATTTTTTGACAGTGTTGACCTCAAACTGAACCATGATCTTCCCTATCTCTGACTTCTGAGTAGCTGGGATTACAGACATAAGCCACTGTGCCCAGCTGAGCAAATTGTTTAATAGCAATTTTTCGTTTACTGTGGAAGAGACAATAAAAATATAAGCAATATCAACTTATATTATCAACTGCTTTATTATTTAACAGTATCATGATGAGAATAGGTCTAAGGCACCACAAAGACAAAGAGCTAATGAACTTGACAGAACTGGGTACTGAATAGGCTTCCTTTGTGTTATTCCATGATTACTTATGTCTAGAATTGTGGAATTGGTTTTTGTGGCTTACTTCTAGTGGAAATACCTATTTTCACATGTTGCATATTGCCTACTTACATTGTCTGCAAGTTCTATTTCGTTTTAATTGTATAATTTATAAACTTAGTTTTTAAAGAATTTCATCGCTTGTGAAGCCTAATTTGACCTTAAGATTATTAAAAGATGAAATGATATTTCAAAGTCACAAGGGAGACCTGTCATTTCATGGTAAAACCAAACTATCGCAGTCCAGCTTTTCAAATAGCCTGGGCAAAGGTGAATGGGGCTGCTTGTTTATTTACAGTCACTGCAGTGCTGAGGATGAAACTCGGGACCTTGGGCACGGTAAGCAAGCACTCCACTCTTGAGTTACACCCCAGCCCTTGGGACAGGGTCTGACAAACAGCACAGAACCTCACAGTTCGTGTTAGGACCTAACGCTGTGCTTGGGAGCAGCTGTCAGTAATGAGCCCTTTAAACTGTTGCTGTAAGCTTCATTCACACAGGACTGCACAGATGCAGACAGTATATTATTATTTCCCTCTAGTCAAATGCATCTGATTGACAATAACTTCAGATACAAAGAACGATTACATTGAACTTCTGTCCTATACTTGTGGCTTTCTGTCAAGAGTTCTCCTTCACAGCTCTTTATAGACTTAAGAACCAGACTTTTGTTTGTAGCAGACATATAGGTCAAGACCTTAAGTTTAAGTGTCAACTTTACAATCACCACATTGTTAGTGGCAAGGTAAAGAAATTTCACAACAAAGAAATCGGCACAAACATAATCAACAATATTTACATTTGTTGAATTAAATGGTCCTTGGGCATACAGAGGTAGTCATTCTTCAGGTGGTTTGTAATTTAATTTGGGTTAAAATATATCGAGAGTTGTGCAGAATGGCAATGGGTGAGCCAAGATTTGCTGGATCTTTCTTGTTTTTAACCTAACACAACTCAAGGAACACTTCCTTTGCAAGGAAATATTCTCTAATTTTTCTCCAGAGATGCGTGGTGCGAACAAAAATACATCAGGATGAGCATCGTTAGGTTGAAGCATCAAGCGTCAGTGGTAGAAGTATTTTTCCAAACAGCCCTTATGTCTGTTATCTGCTCATTGTAAAACAGAAAATTCACGTAGGACTTTTGCTTCAAAACTGTGCACTAAGAAAAGGTGTAGTCCTTCCCCAAATATCTCTGAAATAACAGAAGATGTGTAAAATTAAGAAGGAACCCAGAGAAGCCCTGGAAAACTGGGAAATACTGGTGGTGGTATGGATAAACAGGTTGAGAACTTCTGGAAGATAAGCAGAGATGTACTAAGATGGAAAATTGGTTAGAGAGCCACCTGCAGCACAGCACGGGGTGGCAC